TTGAACCCTGGTCCTCTGCAAGAGCAGCCAGTACTCTTAACTGCTGAGCCATCTCTTAGAAACTTTTAAAATATTTTATTTTTATTTTATTATTATTATTTTTTATGCATATGAGTGTATTGCCTGCATGTAGGTAAGTGCACCCGTGTCATGCAATGCCCATGGAAGCCAGAAGAGGGAATCAGATCCCTTGGAACTGGAGTTACAGATAGTTGTTAGCCACCATGTGTGTGCTGGAAATCGAACCAGGGTCCTCTGCAACAGCAGTCAGGGCTCTTAATCAATTCGCCATCTCTTCAGCCCCAAGATAAATCATTTTAATGGTACTGACCAGAATCTTTCAAGACTAGCACCTAAAAATTTTATCATTTTGAAGTTTTAGAACATTATGAAACTCCTCAGTAAACAAAATGTAGCTTTTACAACAACTTTGGTGTTTTGCTTTTTTTGTTGTTTTGTGTTTTTGAGACAGGGTTTCCCTATAGTCCCAGCTGGCCTCAATCTTATAGAGATCCACCTGCCTCTACTTCCTGAGTCCTTGGATTAAAGGCTTGTGTCACCAGACCTGGCAACAGATTTGTTTTGAAAGTAGCATTTTTCTAAATCAAAGGAATACACTGAAGAGATGTTGGCCTATTTCTTATAAAAATAGCTATTCAGGATATGTATGGTGGCACCTGCATATAATTCTGACACTTACAAGTTGAGATAGGAGATACTAAGTTTAAGATTAGCCTGGACTACCTAGTAAGACCTGTCTCAATAAGCCATAAAAAAGTTATGCTTCTCTAAGTACACTATAAGTTCACACAGAAAAAGCTGTTTGTTTTCACTGCACCTTATGTGAACATAGATAATATTTCCATGTCGATCTACATTGATCTTTCCAGGAATGCAAGGAATTCTTCTTTCCGTTTCTTTTGTTAAAAGTTTCTTACACAAACAGCATCTATAACAAAAACATTTAAGAAAAAATCTAATGTATTAAAGAATATAGCTGCATACCCAGCATACCAAAGGAAAAACACATTACCTATACAATGTTGCTGCATTATTCTGAGAATCTGGATTGAAGTACTCAGGATCAAACAATCTTTCAATCTTCTTACAAAAAAGTTTACTGTTAAAAAAATGATCAATAAATTATATTCTATGTTTAGTTTATTAGTGTTTTTTACTTTCCCATTTTTTAAAACGTGTGTGTGTGTGCACACATGACTTGTGCATGCACGTGTAGCTGGCAGAGACCGACTCTGGCTCTGGGACTCTTCCTCTATTGCTCTCCACATTTCTTTCTTTCCTTCAAATTGTGTGTATTTCTCTGTGTCTGTGTCGGGGTATGCTCATGTGAATGCAGGTGCCTACACAGGCCAGGAGAGGGCATCAGATCACCTGGAGCTGAGGTATAGGCAGTAGTGAGCCTTCTGAACTCAGGTCCTCTGCAAGAGCAGAGCAGTATGTGTTCTTAACTGCTAAGCAATCTCTCCAGCCCCCCCTCTACCTTTTTTTGACATAGGGTCTCCCTATAGTCCCAGCTGACCTAGAACTCACTATGTAGACCAGGCTGGCCTCCATCTCACAAAGAGCCATCTGCCTCTGCCTCCCAAGTGCTGGGATTAAATTAAGGCTGCACCACCACGCCCAACTCTCCACTTTAGTTTTTGAGATGGTATCTCTCATTGAACCTGAAACTTGCCATTTTGGCTAGACTGGCTAGTCAGTGAGCCCCGGGACCCTCTTGTCTCCATCCCCCTAGTTCTGGGTTTATAGATACATGCTGCTAAGCCTGGCTTTTATGTGGGTGCTGGGGATCTGAACTCAGATCCTCATGCTTACTTAGTAATAACTTTACCTACTGAGCCATCTCCCCAGCCCTAAAGTTAGTTTATAGTGATAAAACTAAGTATTGCCACACTTATACGTGTATAAACTAAGATTAATAAGTCTTAGAGAGTTTCTCTTTGGGAGTTTACAAATTTGATATTCTAAGTAAATAAACCTATTGCTTGATCAAGATTCTTTCTTCTTTTCATTACATATTTATTTATTTTGTGCATGCATGTGTGCGTGCAGGCACTTGTGAAGATAGGTGAACAACTTTCAGGAGTGAGCTCTCTCCTTCCACCATGTGGGTTGTGGGGATCGCCCTCAAGTCCTCAGGCTTGGCAGTAAGCACACTTGCCTTCTCAGCCATCTTGCCAGCTTTTTTGTTTGCTTGAGACAGGGTCTCATATAGACTCAAACTTGCTATATAGCTGAAGCTGACTTTCAACCCCGGACCCTCTTCCCTTTATGCCTTCCAAATGCTGCTGTAGACTAGAGTGCCATGATGCCCACTCTTCTCTCCCATTTTGTTTTTGGACACAGTTTCATGCTATGCAGCTCAGGCTGTCCTTGGACTTGCAGCAATCTCCCTGTATCAGTCTCTTGAGTGTTGGAATTTCGACATGTACCTGGCAAGAATATATTTTCACCATAAAAGAAGCAGATACACATCTGCCTTTCTATTCAAGATTAAAAAAAAAATTTTTTTTTTGGCCTTTTTGAGACAGGGTCTCCCTGTAGGCCCAGATGTCCTGGAACTAACTATGTAGACCAGGCTGGCATTGAAATCACAGACATCCACCTGCCTCTGCCTCCTGAGTGCTGGGATTAAAGGCATGCACCACCATGCCTGGCAATTTTTGAGAATTTAACTTTCTAAGTCTACCAATAACTAGGCATATGAGTTTTAGCAACTTGCTTTTTAAAACTTTGCTTCCTCATCAATAAAATATGGTTAATGGGACCCGTAAGATGGCTGAGTAGGTAAAAGCACTTGGTTCACAGCCTGACACTTGAGTTCAATCCCTGGAACCTATGGTGGAAACAGAACTGACTCCCAAAGGCTGTCCTCTGCCTCCATAGGTTTACAGTGGTATATGCTTGCATGCTCACTCACACAAGTACACAATAACAGTAAAGAAAATAAAGAACAAATAAAAAATACAATACAATATGGTTAATTATTCTACATGCGTAAGGTTTAAGAAGGTTAAATTGTCTCATTATTTTTTAAAATTTTTAATTAAAAAATTTTTAAATTTACTTTTATGTGTATGAGTGTTATGCTTGCACATATGTAAGTGCCTGTGGAAGCCAGAAAGGGAGTCAGATTCCCTACAGGCGGTTGTTAGCTGCCATGTGGGTGCTGGGATTCAAACCCAAGTCCTCTGCAAGAGCAATCAGTGCTTGAAACTGCTGAGCCATCTCTCCAGTCCCATGTTTTAATTTTTTAAATATTTTACTTACTATTTTTATTTTCCACTATGAGTGTTTGGCCTGCATGTAAGTGTACCATGTGTGCAAGAGGGAGAGGGAGGGAAAGGGAGAGAGGAAAGAGGGAGAGGGAGAGGAGAGGGAGGGAGGGTGGAGGGAGAGATTAATTATAGTATAGTCACGGAGGTCAGAACAGGGCATCAGCTCCCCTAGAAATGGAGTTTAGGATGATTGTTAGCTAGGAACTGAACCCAAGTCCTCTGAAAGAACAGCAAGTGCTCTTAACTGCTGAGCCGCTTCTCCAGATCCTTGTATAATGTTTTTAAACAATTCCAGGTATAGTATTAAGAATTATATAAACGATACTTATTAAGCATAATATAATTGAACTTGACATCTCTTAGGTATGTCATTAATTCCATATGCATGTCCTGTTTGCCACAATTTCCTCTTGAATAATATCTGTTGCTCTTGGCTAGAGAGATGGCTCAGTAGTTAAGAGCACTGGCTGTTCTTGCAGAGGACCTGGGTTTGATTCCCAGCACCCACATGTCAGCTAACAACTGTCCCGAACTCCAGTTCCAGGGGATCCAACGCCCTCTTCTGACCTCTGTAGGAATTGTGTGACATGGGTGTACTTACATACATGCAGGCAATGCACTCAGACACATAAAAAATAAATAAAATATTTAAAAAATATATCTGCTGTTCTTAAAGAACAAATACGGATTCTGGATCCCATTCTCATTTTGGGGGTATTTTGCTCTTATGTAATTTCATTTTATCTTATGCCTCTTAAGGGCTGAATTCTTGGACGATCCTCTGCATTATCAATTTCTCTTTCTTTAATGGATTATCCTGATAAGCACATAAAAAAATCTAGTATCACCTTCTTTTAAAATATCCTCTTTTCAGCCTCCTCATCACTAATAACTGCAGCTGAATGCTTTTCAGCAATCATTCAGAGCAAAATATCTAGAAAATGTTTAATCCCACCACTCTGGAGGAGGAGGCAGAGGTAGAGGCAGGTGGATCCCTAAGAGTTTGAGGCTAGCCAGGGCTATATAGTGAGACCCTGTCTTTTTTTTGTATGTGTGTGTCTTTTTGAGACAGAGTCTCCCTATAGCCCCAGCTAGCCTGAAACACACTATGTAGACCAGGCTGGCCTCAAACTAACAAAGATCTGCCTGCCTCTGTCTCTCAAATTCTGGGATTAAAGGTGTGTGCCACCAAGCCTGGCTGAGACCCTGTCTTTAAAAAAAAAAAAAAAAAACCCAAAGAAATTAAATATATCTAAGAATAAATAAGTGGAAGGTTATCTAGTGTTCACCAACCAACCATAAGATTCAGTATTATTAAGATGCTAAAGTCAAGGCTGGAGAGATAGCTCAGCACTTAAGAGTGCTTACTGCTCTTCCAGAGGACCAGAATTTGGATCCCAGTACTCACACTGGGCAGCTCACAACTGCCTGTAACTCCAACTCTCTTCTGGCCTTCATGGGTAACTCCCCCCGCCCCCCACTCCACACGCACACACACAAATTTTTCTTTTTTGTCTTTTTGAGACAGGGTCTTCCCATAGCTGCAGCTGGCCTGGAACTCACTAAGCAGACCAGGCTGGCCTCGAACACAGAGATCTGCCTGCCTCTGCTTCCTCAGTGCTGGGATTAAAGACGTGCGGCACCATGCCTGGCATAAAAATAATTTTTGAAAAATTTGTATTTTTTAAAAGATGTTAAAACCACCCCTAGCTGAACTAGAGTTCAATATGAACTCCCAATTCCAAGAGCTTTGCATGTGCCTAAAAAAAGAAAACAAGCAAGCTAATTATAAAATTTATACTGAAATGCAAGGAACCCAAAATGGTCAGGCAGCAACTGTGAAGGCAAAGCTAAAGAATTTAGGTTAGCAGACACCAAAAATTGTTATAACACTGCTGTAATTTATTTAGAGTGGGTGCTACTTGGGCAGGAGAGATGGTTCAGTGCTTGAGACTGTACATCTGGGGGCTGGAGAGATGGCTCAGCGGTTAAGAACACTTGCTGCTCTTCCAGAGGACCCATGTTCAATTCCCAGCACCCACATGGCAGCTAACAACTCTCCATAACTATAGTTCCAGAGGCTCCAATGTCCTTTTCTGGCCTCTGCAGGGTTTGCATGACACAGGTGCACTTATATACATACGATCAATACACTCATACACATAAAAAAATAAAATATTTAAAAAATAGTGCACATCTGTATTAGGTGGCTCACAACTGCCTGTAACTCCAACTCCAGGGGAATCCAACACCTCTGATCTCTACACACACACACACACACACACACAGTTAATAGTAAAAAAATAAATCTTTTAGAGTGGCTACTACTGACTCCAAGAAGGATAAATTAACAGAATAAACTCAAAAATGGACCTCACCCAGTCACCTGACTGGTGGTAATGGTGACACTGGAGTTTGGTGGGGAAGCGGTGGCCTTTCAATTTTTTATTGGTTTTTGTTTTTTTTAAAAAAATATTTTATGTATTATTTTTTGTGTACAAATGTATTGTCTACATGTGCGTAAATGCACTCATGTCATGCAATGCCCATGGAGGACAGAAGAAGGTGTCAGATCCCCTGGAACTGGAGATATGGATGGTTGGAACTGGAGTTATTGATGGTTGTTAGCTGACATGTGGATGCTAGGAATCGAACCTGGGTCCTCTGCAGGAGCAGCCAGTGCTCTTAACTGGGGAGTCATCTTTCCAGCCCACCTGTTTGTTTCTTTTTCAAAAAAGTTTTTTAGGGCTGGACGTGGTGGCACACGGCTTTAATCCCAGCACTCGGGAGGCAGAGGCAGGCGGATCTCTGTGAGTTCAAGGCCAGCCTGGTCTACACAATGAGTTCCAAGGCAGCTGGGGCTACAGGGAGACCCTGTCTCAAAAAGACCAAATAAAAAAGTTTTTTAGTTTATTTATTTTTATTTTATTTGTATGAATGTTACCCCTGCAATGTATGTAAATGCACCTAGAATAAGGTATATTCTCCTTGCTATGACCTCAATAGCCTCTAAATGATATGACTACTGCTGATCTCATCTTACACCACTTGCCTTCTTATAATAAAGCCTTAATTTTAACACAATTCACTACTACCATAAGCTCATGTTTGTTATACAAAATTATTATATGGCTCAGCAGGTAAAGGTGCTTGCTGCCAAGCCTGATACCTGAGTACTGATCCCTAGGACCCACATGGTGGAAGGAGAGAACTGACTCTGAAAAGCTGTCCTCTGATCTCCACATGCACCATGGCACCTGCATGTACACACAAATGAACACAAAATAAATGTAATAAATATTTTTAAATGATTGCTAATTTCATTAGAACTCACTGACTTTTCAGTAAAATATAATAGAAATAAATTTTATATAGATTTTTAAGAACAAATTTTTTGTAGGAACATAATTTTTAAAAATATGTATTTATTATTTTATGTGTATGTGTGTATTGCCTGCGTGTAGATAAGTGCACCCATGTTATGCAGTGTCTGCAGAGGACAGAAGAGGATGTTGGATCCCCCGGAACTGGAGTTACAGAGAGTTGTTAGCTGCCATGTGGGTGCTGGGATTTGAACCCAGGTCTTCTGCAGGAACAACCAGTGTTCTTAACCGCTGAGACATCTCTCCAGCCCCAGAACATAATTATTTTTTAAATTAAAGTTTTAAAAAATTACCTCCTAAACTTATCTTTTTTGTCTCTTAAATCATCAACTTCATTGTGTGTGAACAGGTCAGCTATACGTGTCAGAAGATTTGCATTAATGCAGTTCATGTTGCATGGGGTAGCTACTATGGCATTCATATTTTTGTGGCAATACTGAATACACTGTTCAACCTGAAAAAAAGCACAGAACATAAAATGCTGGAAACAGTAACACAAAGGATAATATCAGAATACCTTTCCAAACATAAAATTCATTAAAAGTCTAATCCATGTATGGATAGGGTTTTAGCTACACTGTTAAATGGGTAAAATATGTAAACATACATAATTAAATTACATCCAGCCTCTCTTATTTCAAGCAACAAGTCTTTTAAAGGCTGGAGCAGGCATAAATCAGTCTGTACACTACAGTGTACATTCGAATGACTTCCTATAATTAAACTCCAAAGTCTTCATTCCTCTGGGTAACAAAAAATTTCAGCCATTCAATAACTTTCTTGGGGCTCAGTGGTTAAGAGCAGTGGCTGCTCTTGCAGAGGACTGGGGTTTGATTTCCAGCTAACAAACATTTCTAACTCCAGTTCCAGGGAAATCTGACACCCTCTGCTGACCTCTGCTGGACTGTACAACATGGGTGCACTTATACACATGCAAGCAATACATTCGTACAGAAAAAGATAAAAATAATAAACATTTTTTTAAATTAATAAGTTAATTTAAAAAAAGAGAATTTTCTCAGTGGTTGGATTTGCTCCTTTCTTTCTCTCTTTATTTACTATAAGAGTAAAAACAGTTGGATGTGAGGGAGATCTGGCTGCGACATCTGTCACCCCATTGATCGCCAGGGTTGATTCAGCCGATCTGGCTAGCTAGGCGGGTGCCCCCTTCCTCCCTCAAAGCTCCATGTGCGTCCCTCCTGAAGCTGCACCCTTGGTTGAAGAGGACAACCTTCCCCCATAGAGGAGGACAGGTCTTCCGTCACGGGTATCTGAGTAGCTGCGCTCCCCTGCTAGAACCTCCAAATAAGCTTTCAAGAGTGAAAACAGAGCCAGGCGTGGTGGCACATGCCTTTAGTCCCAGCATTTGGGAGGCAGAGGCACGTGGATCCCTGTGAGTTCAAGACCAGCCTGGTCTACATAGCAAGTTCCAAGCCAGTTTGGGCCTACAGGGAGACCCTGTCTCAAAAAGACAAAAAAAAAAAAAAAAAAAAAAAAAAAAAAAGTAAAAATGGGGTAATTATACATTCTTCCAAATATTTTTCTGATAGCATAAAAATGATCTTTTAGTTTCAAATTGCAAAGTTGAAGGAATCTGATTTTTTTCCTGAAGTCCCTGCTTAAAAGTCAATAAAACTAGGTGCTGGAGGAGCAGAAAAAATACTACTTTTACTAGTAAAACCAGCATAATTCAAAACAATAAAATAAGCAAGCCTCCCATCTGCCAACACAGCAGACGTATGCTGCCCTGCAGTTTTACCAGGAGCTAAGATCAAATGTTTAAACATTAACTATAAAATGTCAACCAAGAAAACATAAAATCATTTGAATCGTATGTATGTTTAATGAGACCAAGATTTACTATGTAGCCCAGGTTGACTGCAAACTCACTATGAAGCCCAGATTATTTATTAAATAAAATAGAGTATGTTTTATGTTATAATTTAAATGTATATAAGTATATATTTTATCAGCTATTCTTAAGCAGTAGACAAGTTTCTATGATGCGAACACTAAATTACATTGTTTAATAGCTGGATATTTGTTCTTCATTCTTTGAAAGACACAAAGGGCTGGAGAGATGGCTCAGTGGTTAAGGGCACTGACTGGTCTTGCAGAGGACCCAGGTTCAATTCCCAGCACCCACATGGAGGCTACAAATAGTTCTTAACTCCAGTTCCAGAGCAATCCGAAGCCCTCTTCTGACCTCCACAGCATTGCACCACACGGGTGCACTCACATACATGCAGGCAATACACTCATACATATAAAATAAAAATAATAAATAAAATATTAAAAAAAGACACAGACAAGATATGCCTAAAGGACTTATTTAAGTAGCAAAACAAATGTTATTTTTTTTAGTAGTAGGAACAATCTCTTGGAATGAAGTTAATTCCGTTTAGTCCCTAATACAGGTTGCTTCATTATAGGTGTAACACCCAAATGACAGCCTGTAGACTCAACCCCTTCACAACAGAATGAAATCACTCAATAAAATTACACTCTTGAACTAACAGGTATTTATTAAGAGGTCTTCTTCGCCAGACATTCAAAACAGAAAAAAGCAAAGTCAATAAAGAAGCTTAGATTTTGAAAATTAAAACTTACCAATGAATCCATCTTCAAGAACTCTGAAGAAATAAGAATTGAAATGACATTTCCTGGCTCTAATAAAAAGAAAAAAATAAAATTTTCTTTTGATTTTTAACTCAATCTTCTCATAACAGGTTCCTTCTCACCTTAAAAAGAGGACGTTGCTTTAATAAACAATTTGATATAACCATACTTATATCACAGAGTTTGGATATATAAAAGAACTCCAATGTCAAGTCACAGGGTGTAGAGAAAACACAGTAAGTTTTCCCTGAATTAGATTCATATTAAGTACGAAGACTCCAGCTGAAGATGATGACTTGTGCGAAAGCCACAGTGAGAAAATTTAAACAAGAAAAATTTCTTTTTTTTCTTTTCTTTTTTTTTTGTTTGAGACAGGGTCTCCCTGTAGCCCCAGCTGGCCTGGAACTTGTTATGCAGACCAGGCTGGCCTCAGTCTCACAGAGATCCACTTGCCTTTGCATTCCAAGCACTAGGATTAAAGATGTGCACCACCATGCCTGGCTCACATTTAAACAATTTAATGAAAGCATTTTTTTTAGGGAAGTTATTTCAAAAAGACAACAGTGTTTTCTAATAAATATTTAATTTTAAAAGATTCTGAAAGGTAATAAAAATTTGCTGACAAAATGGTTAAGTTACACACTAGTGGCATACTGAGTCTCCAGGCACACAACCTGACACTATAACTTTAGTAAACCTGTTATCTCCCACTCATTCTAAACTCTTTGTAGGGGAAATCTTTCTTGTAGTAAACCATGATTAACGAAGTAATTCCAATATTTTCCTAAGTAACAGTTCTAGGTTAAAGGTTCTCAAATGGAAATGGTGAAAGAAGAAAATGCTGGTAGAAAAGCTTCTTGGGAAATGGTATCTAGGACACGCCATCCATTAAGAACCAGTGGCCGAATTATTAGAGATTTAATTAAACATTCTGGTGCTTTTCCTGATTAGAATAAAGATTGTGCTGGGTGTGGTGGTGCACACCTTTAGTCCCAGCACTCGGGAGGCAGAGGCAGGCGGATCTCTGTGAATTCAAGGACAGCCTGGTCTACATAGTGAGTTCCAGGACAGCTGGGGGTATTGGGAGACCCTGTCTCAAAAAGACCAAATAAATAAATAAATAAAATAAAGATTGCTTCTATAAAAGTTTACATTTGCAGCAGTAATTTAAGCTAAAGATAACAGAATAAATAGCTTTTTTTCTCCGTTTCTTTTACCCTTACTATGCATATAAATATGCCGGAGTAAACAAATTTCCACGTCATAACTAGACAACCTGAAATCTGGTGTCTGGTTGGAATTTTTGATTTAACAATCTTAGAATTTGAATTTTTACTTAAGAACTAGAAATTGATGGGCCTGGTGGCACCTGCCTTTAGTCCCAGCACTTGGGAGGCAGAGGCAAGCAGAGGCAGGGCAGACCCTGTCTCCAAAAGACAACAACAGCAACAACAAAAAGAACTAGGACTCTTCCCCATTAGTTTGGTCATTATAATATAAATTATAAATGTGAGAAATGATTTTTAATACTGTCAATAGAGATTTAGTAATGAGTTTTTTTTACTTATTTGCTTATAATGCTAAAGATTGAACACAAGCATTCCTGAATATTAAGTAAGCATTCTACTATGAGCCATACTCCCAACCTTTAACAAGTGTTTTAAAATACTCATGGGAGCCAGAGATGACTTGTGGCTAAGAACACCTGCTGCTCTTCCAGAGGACCCACATTCAATTCCCAGCACCTCAACCATCTGTAACTCCAGTTCCAGGTGATCCAACACCTTCTTTTCACCTCTGCAGGCACTGCACGCTTGTGGTTCACTTACATACAATGCAGGCAAACACTCACACTCACAAAATAAAAACAGTAAATTTTTAAAAGATTAAAAAAATAAAATATTCTGGGGCTGGAGAGATGGCTCAGCAGTCAAGAAAACTGGTTGTTTTTGCAGAAGACCTGGGTTCGAATCCCAGCATCCGCATGGCAGCTAACAACTGTCTGTAACTCCAGTTCCAGGGCATCCGACAGCCTCTTCTGACCTCCACGGGCATTCGACCTCCACGGGCATTGCATGACACAGGTGCACTTACCTACATGCAGGCAATACATGCATACACATAAAATAAAAAAAAGTTAAAAAAATTATTCTGATATTGCTATTCTAATGCACAGGCTTTTTTATATAAGTCTGCTCCCATTGAAAGATTACTTTTTTAATTAATATTTTAGTGTACAAATAATAGGCTTCATCACATTTTCATATATATGTGTCACTTAACAGCATTTAGAACACTGGTTCTCAAACTTTTAGTCTCTGGACCCCTTTACAATCTTAGAAACTAAGAATCCTAAACAACTTTTGCTTATATGCATTATATCTACCAATATTCACCATATTAGAAATTATAAACAGAGAAATTTAAAAAACTAATTCAGTTTTTTTTTCCTGATTTTTTTGAGACAGGGTCTCCCTGTAGCCCCAGCTGGCCTGGAACTCACTATGTAGATAGGCCAGGTTGACCTTGAACTCACAGAGATCCACCTGCCTCTGCCGCCCAAGTGCTGGGATTAAAGGCAGGTGCCACAACGCTCGACTCTAATTCAGTTTTTTAAAATATAATAATCCTATTACATGTAAACATATTTTTGTGAAAAATATCTATCTTCAAAATGAAAAAAACATTAGTGAATGTCATTTACTGACATTCTTTGCAAAGCTCTTCAATGTCTGACTTAACAAGACTGCAAGATTCTCCTATCCATTTCTGGATTTCTTTTGGAGACAGGGTTCACTCTGTAGCCTAAGTTGTTGTAGAACTGGCTATGCAGCTCAGGTTGGTCTGGAACACATGTCCATATTCCTGTCTCAGCCTCCTGAGTGCTGGGATTACAAGCATGAACCACCACCCTGGTTCCACATCTGTTCTACACTCAATTTATGAGTAGCTGCTTTTGTTGTTACACCAGAATTTGACAAATATCTTCTTTTTAAAAAATTTGTTTTAATTATTTTTATTTTTGTGTGAGTATATTGCCTGCATGTATGTAAGTGATGCATGTCATGCACTTCCCTCAGAGGTGAGAAGAGGGCATCGGCTCCCCTGGAACTGGAATTGTGGACAGCTGTTAGCCGCCATGTGGGTGCTAGAAACCAAACCCAGGTCCTCTGCAAGAGCAGTCAGTGCTCTTAATCACAGAGCTATCTCTTCAGCCCAACAACTAGTAGTTTATTAAATGTTAAGTGAAATGAAATCTGAAATCATATCAATGAAGTGTTCCTACTTTGCTAAATTTTGCACTTTGAGTGGATCATCACCTCATGCCTGATTTCTTTTTTTCTTTAATATTTTATTTATTATCTTTATGTGTATGTGTGTATTGCCTGCACGTAGGTAAGTGCGCCTGTGTCGTGCAATGCCTGTGGAGGACAGAAGAGGCTGTCCGATCCCATGGGACTGGAGTTATGGACAGTTGTTAGCTGCCATGTGGGTGCTGGGATTTGAACCTGGGTCTTCTGCAAGAACAGTGTTCTTAACCACTGAGCCATCTCTCCAGCCCCCTAATTTCTTTTTAAATGTTGTATATTGCTTATTTGGAAAATACTGGCTCATTGAGTTATGTGGATCTTCTAAATATTCAGACATTTCATTGTAAAAATAGGCATTTAAAAAATCAAACTTGTGCCAGGCGTGGTGGCGCATGCCTTTAATCCCAGCACTCGGGAGGCAGAGGCAGGCGGACCTCTGTGAGTTCAAGGCCAGCCTGGTCTACATAAGTGAGTTCCAGGACAGCTGGGGCTACAGGGAGACACTGTCTCAAAAAGACCGAAAAAAAAAAAATCAAACTTGTTAGTATGACCACTAGTCATAGCTCATTAGAAAAGTCAGTTTGGAGAAGCTGCCAGTCACACAGAAGCAGCTAAGTTTTCCAAAACTCTAATTCTCACTTGGATTTTGTCACCGGTAACAAATACTATCAGCTATTTTCCTTAAACTCATTTATGAAAAAGTGTCCCAAGTACCCAAGTATGCACAATCATAATTTCTGAAAGTTGCTTTCCCAAGTACAAATGTTTTTCTGCTTTTAAAAGGAAGCTGGTTTAGCTCATGACTCAACTGCAGGAATGCTTTTTCCTCAAGACAGCCATGTACTTTTGTACATCAGAAGTGCATTTTACCTTTATGAGCATTCTAAAGGATGCATAACCAAGGTCTGAGATTTAATAAAGAACATTCTTGTGTCAGGTGTGGTGGCGCACGCCTTTAGTCCCAGCACCTGGGAGGCAGAGGCAGGTGGGTCTCCGTGAATTTGAGGCCAGCCTGGTCTACATAGTGAGTTCCAGACCAGCTGGGGCTACAGAGAAATCCTGTCTCAAAAAGACCAAAAAATAAATAAATAAAATAAAATACAGAAGAACATTCTTAAGTGGACCTACATCTTTTCTTTCCCTTTTTCCTTTCAACTATGAGTGCTTGGTTTTAAAGAATATGATGGCACAATTCCCTGTCTCTGCTTTAATTTGGGCTAAGACTCTGACAGTTTTTCACACCACTGCTTTTTCACAATCTGAGCAAACCTTAGCATAATAATAATAAAAAATGACATCTTGGTATTATCATGCAGATTATGGTAGCCTTGTAGGCCCTCTAAAGGAGTCTCCAGGATCTTTTCTTAAACAGATGAGGCACCAGTTTCTATAATATGAACATAAATACTAATATTCAAATAAATATCTACATTTCAGTTTTGACTTGAAACAGTTACCAGGGGACATACAAGTTTCACTACAAAATAAGCAAGATTGTCCTTTACCTAAAGTGGGTATCTCACAATCTTTATCCTCCTTAATGTTCCTTTTAACATATTTTATCAACCAGTTGAAAATGTGAACGTCACAATGAACTGAAATGTCCACCTCTTCCCAGCGCTGCGCATCCATAGATAAATATTCAGCAAAGTACTTCATTTCTGATATCAAAAGATCTCGTGGGCAAATAAAATCTTCTTTCAAGTTTTTTGCTTCATCACATACATGGATCACCATGTTTGGCCTTCATAAAAAATGTTACATAGAAATGAAATTAGAGTTTTAGAAGGGGAGTCAAGAACATGGACATTTAGTGGCAGTAGAACAGGTGTTTCTGAATATTTAGACCACAAAATCAGTTTTATAGGTTTAACATTCAGAATTTCCCAAGTCTTGTCAACTGATTATATCTTAGATTAGAACTAATTTTAGCAAGCTACTCACTTCATAAGGGAAATAAAATATGTTACTAAAGGGCTAGTAATTTACATGGCTTCAATTTTAGTGTTCAACTTTCAATTCCCAAAGAACAACTGAATACTACGCTTTAATTGTAGTGAAGAACACGCAGCAACACTGTTACCTGACTATGGTACGGGGGGGGGGGATAATGACTAAACACCATATTCCTATACTTATGAAAAAGGAAACATAACTAAGATGTTTCTTTGAAGAATCAAATCAGAAATTAGTTATTTTTAGTTATTTATATATTTTAGGTATTAGTTATTTTTTAGCATCAAAAAAGTTTGTCTGTAGGTATTCATTAAATATGTCAATGAATATAGTTAAAAGAATTCCAAAGACTTCAATATGCTTATTTATAGCCTAAAGTAATTTATTAAGTTAATGTATTAGAAAATTTACTTCAAAAACTACATACTCCTTGAATCTCCCTGCTTTGAAAATGATGCATTTAGCTAGATGTGGCAGCTCATGTGTGCAATCCCAGTATATGGACGCCTGCTGCAGTAGGACTGCTATGAGTTGGAGGCTAGCCCATACTCTACAGTGAGTACTAGGCCACCCTGGGCTACAAAGTGAGCCCCTGTTTCATAAAACTCCAAAAGTCAACGAAAAAAAAAAAAAAAGAGGACCGGGGATAGAGCTCAGTCAGTGTATCTGAGTTCTAGTCCCAGAACCCACTTAAATAGCAAGATGTGGTTGGGCATGGTAGCACATGCCTTTAATCCCAGCCCTCGGGAGGCAGAGGCGGAGGATCTCTGTGAGATCAAGGTCAGTCTGGTCTACATAGTGAGTTCCAGGTCAGGGGAAACCCTGTCTCAAAAAAAAAAAAAAAAAAAAAAAAAAAAAAAAGCAAGAGGTGATGGTATGCTCAAAAAAATGTTGGCTGGCACCTGAGGAGTGGCACTCAAGGATGTCTTCTGCCCTGCACACACGCAACCACACATATTCATGTGTACTCACACACACACACACACACTCACAAACACATACACACAAATCAGTGTGATGCACACTGCCTTCAGATCACAGCAGAAAGGAAATAAACGTGAAGAAATACAGTGTGCAACAGATGTGCAAATGTGAATTACTCTGTTTAATTTATACACTGCAAAAACAAAAAATTGTTTTATATGAAGTTGGGCTATAAGAAAAAGGATTATAATCAATGCTGTGTCAAAGTGAAAAGAGGACCTGCAAGATGTCTTGCAGGATAAAGATACCTGTAGCTAAGTCTGATAACCTGAATTTGATCTCCGAGATCCACATGGTGAAAAGGAGAGAACTGATTTCCATAAACTGTCCTCTGACCGACACATTCTGGCTCACCACAGCATATGCACGCACGTGCGTACACGCACGTGCGCGCGCACACACACACACACACACGCACACACACAGTAAATATATAAATGTAATAAAAAATTCAAATAATGGGTTTATTCTGAAGCAAGGTCTCATGATGCGCCTAGGTTGACTGGAATTCATTATGTAGCTCAGGCTTCAGATTCAAGACCTCCTGCCTTCACCTTGTCAGAGCTTGGATTATGTGTGTGCCACTACACCTGGGGAATTAAAACAATTTCCACAAACCATTCTTCCAAAGAAATCATCATCAAAATATAAACAGGAAACATGTAGTACAAACTTTCGATGACTTTTTGACCCACAATATGAAATATTGCATGATTCTGGCCTTAAAAAAGTATCTGGCAAATTTCTGCATGACACAAACCTATCAGTTAAAAATCTATGCAAATAAGCCAACAATCATTGAAACATACACTTTAAGATTTTCTTATTGTGGTAAAATATTTTTAACATAAAATGTATAATTTTATATACTTCTAAATGCTCAGTGGCATTAAGTACATTCACACTGTATGAAATCACCACCACCGACTTCCTGAACGAAGCGAATTTTTGCCAGGAGTGATGGCATAGACCTGTAGTCTCGGTTATTTGGGAGACTGGAGAGGGCAATCTGGTTGGACTCTGATTACAAATCCATTTAAAAGGGGCTGCAGATATTAGCTGAGTAGTAGTGCTTGTCTAGCATGTGTAAGGTCCTAGGTTCAATTCTCCATGCCAGAAAGCAAGAAAAAGAAAAGAAAGAAAAAGTGAAAGAAAGGTAGGTATGTTACTTGTATATTAATTGCTATTATAAACCTATCAAAACTAAAGTGCAGGGAAGGAACTTTTAGAGATGACAAAAATGTTTTGTTTACTCATTAAGTTATAGTTATATGATGCACTATTTGTCAAAACGTAAACATTTACTATGCATGTAGTTTACTATATAGGAAATATACGAAACAATACAAAATATCAAAACTTGCAACATAACTAAAAGACGTTCTAATTTTTAAATGTTTGTATAGTAATTATAAATTGTAGTCAAATAGTTCTAAAATATATATTTCATTTCATAAACTTTAAGAGCTAACTGCTTATAGATTTTTAAGTATTGAAATTTACTTTCTAAAATTTTATGCTAACAGATGTCATTTTTTTTTTTTTTTTTTTTTTGAGACAGGGTCTCCCTGTGGCCCCAGCTGACCTGGAACTCCCTATGTAAACCAGGCTGGCCTTGAACTCACAGAGATTGGCTTGCTTCTGCCTTCTGGGTGCTGGGATTAAAGGCATGCACCACAACAGATGTCATTTCTAATGTTTAAATAAATTTTAAAAATGAAAGAAAGCCCATCATTTATAAATAGCATCAACAGGTCACATTTTTAAGCATTAGGTACTCACTTACTGTTTAGCACTTGAACTAAGCTGATTCTAACGTTTCAGCAACTGTGTAATGTGAAATTCCTAAAGTATATAACGCACATGTATAATCACCAATCATCTATTTTTATAATTAAAGTTGATATTGATACTAAATCTTATCTAGCAAACAACCAGCCTCCTACCCTTCAGAGTCTTCAGTCTTTTCTCCACCATTACGAGTAGCACAATTTTCACTTTCTGAAGAACAATTCCTTGTAGAAGCTATACTATGTCTTTCTTAAATACAGAAACAGACACATGCAAAAAAAAAAAAAAAAGGGGATCGATTAGCATTTCTAGCTGAGAATGAGTTTCTACTTATGGAATGGTAATACTGTAAACACACGGTTTCCAAAGCCAGTTACACATGGCATTTGGCAGGTGGCATTTCCCTTAATATTTTTATTTTATTTTGTTTTTTTGAGACACGGTCTCCCTGTAGCCCCAGTTGCCCTGGAACTCACCATGTAGACCAGGCTGGCCTTAAATGCACAAAGATCTGCCTGCCCCTGCCTCTGCCTCTGCCTCTGGAGTGCTGGGACTGAAGACATGCACCACCACATCTGGCTTTTTTTTTTTTTTTTTTTTTTTTTTTTTGTCTTTTTGAGATGGGTCTCCCTGTAGCCCGAGCTGGCCTGGAACTCACTACATAGATTAGGCTGGCCTCAAACTCACAGAGATCCACCTGCCTCTGCTTCCTGAATGCTTGGACTATAGGTATGCACCACCACGCCGACTGGATATGAATATTTTTAAAGCCATGAGGAAAACAGTACAAAAATGGATCACAAACTGCTAATGTTATACTGAACATTTCCAAAAGACATAGGTCAAATGTCCAAAAGCTTGGTTTTTTTCTCTTTCTGAATTTTTAACTTAAAAAATATTTTCCTTATTATTTTTATGTTATGTGTATGCATACGTGTATTTCCTGCATGTAGGTAAGTGCACCCATGTTGTGCAATGCCCACAGAGGACAGAAGAGGCTGTCTGATCCCCTGGAACTGGAGCTGGAGCTACAGACAACTGTTAGCTGTCATGTGGGTGCTGGGATTTGAACCCAGGTCTTCTGCAAAAACAACCAGTGTTCTTAATCGCTGAGCCATCTCTCCAGCCCCTCTGAAGTAAATTTTTATCTCAATACTCTAACTGCTGCTGTTGAAATTAACTCAGTACACCATGAGGACTCCTAAAATCAGTTATTTTCAAATGCAATTGCAGAAAACATCTCTGCAAGCTTGCCACTGTGTCACCTGAATCTTTTGTTAGCTGCAATAGAGCATAGGTGGAAAGAAATTATGTGAGAGATAAGTGAGGTTCTTTTTGTGACAACAAAAAGTGGTCAAGCATGGTGGCACATGTCTATAATGCTAGCACTTGGGAGGAGAAAGCAGAAGGATCAGAAGTTTGAGGTCATCCTCAGCTATACAGCAAGTCTGAGGCCAGCCTAGGCTACATGAAACTTTATCTTTAAAAAAGAGAGAGAGAGAGAGAGATGGAAGGAAGGAAGGAAGGAGGGAGGGAGGGAGGGAAGGAAGGAAGGAAGGAAGGAAGGAAGGAAGGAAGGAAGGAAGGAAAGACTTCAGAGCACAGCTGGATTTACAACTTGACTCTGACTCAGTGCCAGAAGAGGAAAAATCCATTACTCTTTGATTAAACAAAAATTCTATAAATAAACTATAGATAAGAGAAAAAGAAATATTAAATTTGCTAAGAAAGTACATGTCAAATTCATTTAAAATAAAGTGAGTGAAAACTGGGAATATAATCAGTTGGCAGAGGGCTTATCTAGCATGTATGAAGTCCTAGGCTCAATCCCCAGCACCACAAAGCCCAGGTGTGGTAATACATGCCTATAAGCTCACTACCTGAGAGACAGAGGCAGGGAAATCAGAGTTCAATGTCATCCTCAACAACAAAGTGAGTTAGAGCCTGGCCTAGGATACATGCCACCCTTTTTCAAAAGAAAAGTTACAAAAATAATAAGCAATATGTGATGAAACAAGATCAAGAAACTGAGCTGAAATTTTGATAGTTAATATTTGTTTTGGAAATATTATTTGATCTATATATAAACAGTTAAAGGTTTTTTAAAAATAGTAAAGACAATTAAAAATTTTACATTCTCAAAGATACAAACACTAACAGATTTTTTTATTAATAGCCTTTAAACAAAGAGAGAAAATGACTGGAATTTTCATAAGGACAAGTACTTCATTTTAAAATCTTACCTGTTTTGGAAACTACATCTTGACCAACTGGAGTCTCTTGAAAGTCACCTTGTGTGTCAAGAAGTGAGGATTTAATGTAAGTAGCTAAGGTTTCTACAGGACTCTCTCCAGCAGCCATTAAGGGATTATACTGGTTGTCAACAGGTGAGCTTCCGTTGCTCTTCAGTTCCTCAAACCTTTTTGCACACTGCAAGGATATAAAATGGTATAAATGGTAGTTAAATTAAAAAAAATGATCACACTTTGTTAGAAGAATGTCATAATGCGCTGGGTGTGGGGGCACACGCCTTTAATTCCAGCACTTGGGAGGCAAAGGCAGGCTGATCTTTGTGAGTTGAGGACAGACTACTCTACGAATTGAGTTCCAGGCCAGCTAGGGATACAGGGAGATCATTTCGAAAACAAACAAGCCATAAAGCTAATACTTTGCTTGCTAATTTAAGGAATTTAAAATATTTTATTTATTATTTTTATTTTAGGTATGAGTGTATGAGTGTACTGTCTGTATGTGTGTAAGTACACCCGTGTCATGCATTGCCTGTGGAGGTCAGAAGAAGGTATTGGATCCCCTGTAACTGGAGATACAGATGGTTTTTAGCTGCCATGTGGGTGCTGGGAATCAAACCCAGGTCCTCTGCAAGAGCAGTCAGTGCTCTTAACTGCTGAGCCATCTCTCCAGCCCCTAATTTAAGGAATTTAAAAATAGCACAAAGGTAATATACAAGCTTAACATCTATGTATGATATTATCACTGAGTAATCAGAGTAACCATTAAATAATTATGAATGATTAGCTTCTGTCAAATTGTAATGATACATTGTTAAATGATGGTACTTAGAAGAGAGAAGACATATTTATTCATTCATCAACTTTAATCATTAAGTTATAAACTATGAACAAAACAGAGTAACAAAGATTTCTCATAAGAAAAGATATTTTCTTATATTCTATTTGAAGATACTTCTATTTTTGTGATTATTAATTTGGTTATATCTACAAAATTTGTATATTTTAATACATAAAATTTTGTGAATTATTTTTCTCCTTTAAAATTCTGAGTAGATGCCAGGCGTGGTGGTGCACGCCTTTAATCCCAGCACTGGGGAGGTGGAGGCAGGCAGAGCTCTGTGAGTTAAAGTTTGGCCTGGTCTACATAGTGAGTTCCAGGACAGCTGGGGCTACAGGGAGACTCTGTCTCAAAAAGACAAACAAACAAACAAACAAACAAAAACCCCATATATAAATACAATGTATGAAATTCTCAAAAAATCAAGAAAAAAATATTTTTTTAAATAGATATGCTGGGGCCTAGAGAGATGGCTCAGGGTTAAGAGCACTGACTACTCTTTCAGAGGACCAAGGTTCGATTCCTAGCACCCACATGGTGGCTAACAACCATCTATAACTACAGTTCCAGGGGATCCAAAGCCTTCTTCTGACCTCCATGGGCATTACATGACACGGTGCATTTACACATATACAGGCAATACACTCATACACATAAAATAAAAATAATAGCAATTTTGCTTCTGTGTTTATCTTCCAAAAGAATGAGAATCAAGTATTTGTAACTGTTGCCATCATAGTAGATACAGCTGGAAAAGAAAACTGCCTGAATGTTCAAAACAAGGGACTGGTTCAATAACTATTGTTGGGGACCCCTGCTGTTTGGGTCGCAGTCTCTCCATGTCCGGATAGCCTAAGGGGCTCGGCGTTCTTATGCAGAGACTCCTCTTTCCAGCAGGGCGCCTTCTGCTCTCCTTCCTGGCTCACCTTTGAAGTGACCGTCACAGATACATGACCTCTGGTATAGGAACCACCAGGTTTTAATCAGGCATTGTCTGACAGTCTGATAGTAGCCCACCACCACATGTAAATGGGGCATCCTAGGAGCACCTATCAACTAAGGCTTTTGCTACTGCCTCCACACTATAAATCTTCTGGTTTCACCCCAATAAAGTGAAGCTGTATCACTGAACTTGTCTGGAGCTGTCTCTGTGTCTCACTGTGCCTGGAACCAGCCTATGATACAATCTCCCCGGAGGGGGCTGTCCTTCTGTCAGCAACCACTCGGGAAGATCTTGCTTTCGCTGTTCCTGCACCTCCCCTCGTGATCCGGTGGCCAACGGATCCCGTACACAGAGGGAGTGTCTGGCAGCTTGGAACAGAACCCGCCCGGCAGCCGACAGCAACCCGCAGAGCCACCAGTGCCTGGTAGCCGCGGAGAGCCAGGGACCCGCACAGCAACGCAGTGCGCGAAATCCGCGCACCCCAGCCAACAGCTGGTGTAGCAGCACGCAACCCGCCGCACCACAGCAACAGCTGGCGCCCAACATGGGGCACAAACCCACGACCCTGAGATTAAGAGTCTCATGCTCTACCAACTTTTAAATCTTTTGTTTGTTTGTTTATACGGCACGAGCCACCTTGAACTTTCAAGTGCTCTGCAGGGGCTAGTTAATTTAAATTCTCACCTAACTGGTTTTAGCTGTGGTTTGAGTGCCCCGGGGGCAAGATAACAAAACCAATTAGGGAAGTTTATTTTACAAGGAAGAAAAGATAAAAGAGACTGCCAGGCCCCACGAGTGGGGTGGCTTGGAGGCACAGCTGCCTTTTAATCTCCTGATGGGAGATGAAAGAAAGAGAGATTTGCCAGGCCCCACGAGTGGGGTGGCTTGGAGGCACAGCTGCCTTTTAATCTCCTGATGGGAGATGAAGAAAAAAGAGATTTCCAATGCTCTTCTGGTGGGAGAGGTACTCACGAATTCTGCGTTTCAGGGGGCGCCAGCTGCTGGCTGGCGCGGAGTTCGGAGGCCCCACGTTGGGCGCCAGCTGTTGCTGTGGTGCGGTTGCACGCTGCTACGCCAGCTGTTGGCTGGGGTGTGCGGGTTTCGCGCACTGCGTTGCTGTGTGGGTCCCTGGCTCTCCGCAGCTACCAGGCGCTGGTGGCTCTGTGGGTCGCTGTCAGCTGCCGGGCGGGTTCTGTTCCAAGCTGCTGGACGCTCCCTCTGTGTACGCAATCCATTGGCCACCGGATCACGAGGGGAGGTGCAGGAACAGCGAAAGCAAGATCTTCGCAAGTGGTTGTTGACGGAAGGACAGCCCCCTCCGGGAAGACTGAATCACAGGCTGGTAACACAGGATACAGCTCCAGACAAGTTCAGTGATACAGCTTCAGTTTATTCAGTGATTCAGCTCCGATTTATTAGGGGAAAACTAGAGAATTTATAGTGTGGTGGCAGTAGCAAAAGCCTCAGCTGATAGGTGCCCATAGAATGCCCCATTTACATGTGGTGGTGGGCTTCTATCAGGCTGTCAGACAATGCCTGATTAAAACCTGGTAGTTCCTATGCCAGAGGTCATGTATCTGTGACGGCCATTTCAAAGGTGAGTCAGGAAGAGAGTAGGAGACGCCCCACTGAGAAGGGGAGTCTTTCCATTTGCGCCGAGCCGGCTTGCGGCTATCCAGACATGGAGAGACTGCGACCCTAAACAGCAGGGTTCCCCAACAACTATAATCCAAATGCAAGAATAATTAAAATTTCAAACTTTAAAAAATTAAACTTTAATTAATGTTGCATCTAAACATGTTTATAATATCGTAAGTGAAAAAGCAAAACCACATTCATGGTCAGTTTAGGAATTCATGCTGGGTGTGGTGGTGCACGCCTTTAAGTCCCAGGACTCGGGAGGCAGAGACAGGAGGATCTCTGTATGTTCCAAGCCAGCTGGGGCTACAGGGAGACCCTGTCTCAAAAACACCAAAAAAAAAAAAAAAAAAAAAAGGAAGGGAGGGAGGGAGGGAGGGAAGGAAGAGAACAAAAGAATTCATACAGGTATAAAAAGGAAATGTGAGGATATGTGTGTGTTAGGAGCTTTTTCAAAGTAAAATCAGATTTATAATTTCTGAGTATAATTCTGTTTTTTTGCTTATTACCTTGATATATGTATACATATATATTATTTGAAAGTCTATTTTATTTAGGAATAACATTTCTAAAAATCAGTACCAGTTTTTAAAAGTTGAGTGGCTGGCAATGTAGCTCAGGGGTAGAGTACTTGCCTAGTATGAATGAGGCCCTGGGTTCAATTCCTAGCATCTCAAAAAATAAAAGAAAATAAAAACGTCAGATTCACTTCAGTTGCTATTTTTTTTAATTTTTTTTCATATTTTATTATTTTTATTTTATGTGTATGTGTGTATCGCCTGCATGTAGGTATGTGCACCCGTGTTGTTTAATGCCTTCAGAGGACAAAAGAGGCCGTCAGATCCCCTGGAACTGGAGTTATGGACAGTTGTTAGCTGCCGTGTGAATGCTGGGATTCAAACCCAGGTTTTCTGCAAGAACAACCAGTGTTCTGAACCGCTGAGCCATCTCTCCAGCCTATTATTTTTTTTTTGAGACAGGGTCCGATGTGTCCCAGGCTGACCTCAAACTCACTACATATCTGAGGACGATCTTGACCTTCTGATTCTGATTCTCCTACCTCCACCTCTTTTCGTCTTTTTTTTTTTCCAGAGCTGAGGACTGAATCCAGGGCCTTGCGCTTGCTAGGCAAGCACTCTACCACTGAGCTAAATCCCCAACCCAATCTCCACCTCCTGAATGCTGAGATTACTGGCATATGCCACCATCATGCCCAGTTCATGCTGGGGATTAAATCCAGGGCTTTATGTTTTCTAGGCAAGCACTGAGCTACATCTCCAGCCTAGCTACATTTCAATTAAAAGAAAAATCCTGAGCAAGTCTGAATCAGATGAAATAATAGAGTTACTGTTAATTTTTCTTAGGTTTGACGATGGTAGTTTGATATGCAATAATGTCTTTATTCTAAAGAAAAATATGCTGTTCTATATAGGGATAAAGCATCATAATACCTGAAATTTACTTTTATAGCTTAACAAGACTTGCATAGCGACACCGCCAGTAGGCATACCAAAATGGATAGGGGAAATTTCAAAGGGTCCCATCTCTAGATGAAGGGCTATAGGCAATCAATGGATGCTGAGGGAGGAAAACTCAATTTTCTCCAGGAACAAGATCCCTGATAGGTTATCTAATCAAGTAGTCAGCCTTAAACATACGTACACAGGAGCACCACTAAATGGACTCAGTGCATTAAATATGTGTATTTATAAACATTTTATGTAATAGTAATAAAAAAAAGGACAAGAAACAGATGGAGTGGAGGGGGGACACAGGAACAGTTAGGGGGTTGGGGGGGAATAGGAAGGTGGGATTGATGCAAATATAACATGTATAAAATTCTCAAAAATACAGCTGGAGAGATGGCTTAGCGGTTAGGAGCACTGACTGCTCTTGCAGAGGACCCAGGTTTGATTCCAGCACCCACATCATGGCTACGAACCATCCTTAACTCCAGTTCCAGGGGAATCTGAAGCTTTCTTTTGACCTCTGTGGCAATGCACAACACAGGTGCTCTCACATACATGCAGGCAATACACTCATACACATAAAATAAAAATAATAAACAAGGGGCTGGAGAGATGGCTCAGTGGTTAAGAGCACTGATTGCTCTTGCAGAGGACCTGGATTCAATTCCCAGCACCCACATGGTGGCTATGAACCATCCTTAACTCCAGTTCCAGGGAAATCCAAAGCCCTCTTCTGATCTCCGTGGCACTGCACGACACAGGGGCACTCACATACATGTAGGTAACACAATTTTTAAAGAATTCTCAAAAATAAAGACATTATAAAAATATGAAGAGATCAAGCAAACAGCTAGAACTGTTGCACTTACATAAAGGAAACAGGGTTGTTTTATTGTTCTTTTTCCCTGTTTGAAAACATTTGTAATAAAAAGATGGAAAAATAGGTGAGTTTACTAGTCTGTAATGTTTTAATTCCAATGTAAAAACCCAAAAGACAAAAGTGCACATAAATAAGTATGCATGTAGTGATGACATACACTAAAAAATGGACTCATCATTTCAAAACGATTATATGGCTGAGGACAAGTAAACTCAGTGGGGTCTGGTTTCCTCAGTTGCAATAGAGCAGATCTCGATTTATTTACTGACTTAATTCCTATTTATTGAGCATATATGATGAGCTAGGAAGTGAGGAATCAGTTTAAACTTACTGAAGAAAAAAAAAATCACAAATGCAATTTCTACATCTAGAATTCTAAGGTGATCTACATACTTGAGCAGCAAAAATTCAGAGGTCATGGATGAGGAAACTTATCAGTAGGGTTATTGCCTAGCATTCTCTAGGTCCAGGGTTCAGTCCCTAGTACTGGAGGGACAAAGAAGAAAAAAAATTAAGAAATGCCAGATATGTTGGAATAATCTTATAATCCCAACACTTGGGAGGTTAAGGCAGGAAGATTCTAAGTTCCTGGCCAACCTGGGCTATGCTGTAAGATTTCATCTCAAAAAATCCAAACCGAGCACAACAAAAAGATGGAGGTCAATGCTTCTCAAACTAGTGTTCATGAAAGAATTACAAGAATCTACATGTTCCTTCTAAGAAAGTTTGATAGCAGAGTGGGGGCAGCGTTGAACACAGGGAGACCTTAGCTTGAGACGGTGGGAATGGAAAGAAACAGAACAAACTGAGAATCTCTATGGCTGTGGTGTGGGAAGATAGGAAAGGAGATTTGAGAGAAGGGAGTGTCCTTAAGTGAGCGTGGTCTTTATTCTAAAGGATAAAGGAGAGGCTAATTTTACATTTCAACTGTCTATTCAGCTGTGCCCTTATAACATCACCTGGCAGAGAGGGCGGTGAACACACTGAAAACCCTGCAGAGATCACAAACACACTCCAGCCCTGGAAGATGGGGAACTGCCTCAAATCCCTGACCTCGGATGACATCTCCCTGCTTCACAAGTCTCAGTCCAATCGGGCTAGCTTTGGCAAGGGGATGAGCCAGATCAGGAGGAGCCACCGCCCTATCAGGAATAAGTTCCAGTCCAGTCTATCATCCAACACCTACCCAGACTCTGCTAGCAACTCAGCTGACTGAAGGGGCACAAATTAGCATAGCTCGAAGAATAGGCCTTATACAGCATCTACCTAAAGGAGTTTATGACCCTGGAAGAGATGGATCAGAAAAAAGATCCGAGAGTGTACAATCTGTATGGACTTTGTTTATGAGGACCCATTTCGATTTCTGCCACGCATGCACATGTATCACCTGGACTGTATAGATGACTGGTTGATGAGATCCTTCACGTGCCCCTCCTGCATGGAGCCAGTTGATGTAGCACAGCTTTCTATGAGACTAAATGAGCCAGGGTCTCTTGTGAACCATCATTTTTGGTGGTTTTGATCTTTTGACACTGAGCCCAAAGAGCCAAGGATTAGGAATTAAGATCATGCACCAAAGTTTCCTAAAAATTCCTGGAGGCTGCAGATGTTGAGGAAAGTATGTGATATTTTAGAAACCCAGTGGGGAAAGTAGGATGGTATTTTTATGTAAAGTCTTGACCCAGTGTTTAAAAAAATATAATTGTATTTAGATCTTGTTATTGCTCCAGTACATACGAATTGTGTAAAGTGTTACAGCAGCTGTATGTGTTTAAATTGTGTGTGCTGAAGATTAGGAAAAAGTTATTTTTCCTAAATGAGACAAGTTTCTCCCTTCCACCCAAATTCTTTTCTGAAGTTACTGGCATTTGGGTCAGGGTTTTATTAAAAGCTACATTTTATAACACTGACACACAAAAAAAGTAGTTTGAAGCTTCTCTGCACAGCTCTTTTTTTCCATTGAAAATAGAATTCATTGCCTTAAGTCTTTAAATAATGTATTATTGGCTGGGCATGGTGGTGCATGCCTTTAATCCCAGCACTTGGAAGGCAGAGGCAGTCGGATCTTTGTGAGTTCAAGGCCAGCCTGGTCTTAATAAGGAATTCCAGGGCAAGCGGGGGTTAAAAGAAGCCCCTTCTCAAAAAACCAAAAAAAAAAAAAAAAAAAAAAAGTATTATCACTGGGGCTGGTTCTGTGCTTGAAAACCAATTTATTTATATTTATTTATAACCTGCTGTAAGTGCTATATTCTGTTTGCAGTTAGGAAATACAGAATTCAAAGTGATCTCCTAGCTTATAAGAAAACTGAGATGCACTATCCCTTTTCTATTAAAAATGACATGTCTAGAAACCAACTCTAGCAAAGTGGGTTTAATATTAAACCTTTCCTATGTGTCTTATCTTATTGTTTTGGTTGTTAATATGATCACTGAAAATCGAGGTGAAGTTTAAATATTAAGATTTCTGATTTATTGAGCTTGAATTATGCCACCATGCTTCTGTAAAAATGAAGGTGGCACCAGGATGAAACTTAACAGTAGTAGTTTCTTAGTTGTGACAATTTTGATTCTCTTTCCTGTGCCCTCTTTCCCTGTTGTCTGGAACCATAGCAGAAGGATTCTGCATCTCTTGTTACTGTAGTGCAGAGGTTATTAAAGTTACATAAACACATCTCAGTCTCTGTTTTTTAGAAAGGTGTCAAAATAAAGGTAAATGTGTTTCATGTTTTGCATACAAATGCAGAATTTGTATAACTACATGACTTCATAATTGGTGATCTCTAAAAAAAAAGGAATTTCTCCTTTAATTTTTCTTAAAATTAATGTAAGAACACTATTTTTTATATTTTATTTATTTATTATTTTATTTTATGCGTATGCGTGTATTGCCTGCATGTAGGTAAGTGCACCCATGTCGTGCAATGCCCCCGAAGGTCAGAGGAGGCTGTTGGATCCCCTGGAACTGGAGTTACAGACAGTTGTTAGCTGCCATGTGGGTGCTGAGATTCAAACCTGCGTCTTCTGCAAGAACAGCCAGTGTTCTTAACTGCTGAGCCATCTCTCCAGCCCCATAAGAACACTCTAAATCTCTAAACTTCTGAAATGTTAGAGGTAGTCTAGTAAAAATGCAGTCATGCTTTATCCATTTAGCATGTTTATTTTTCCTTATGTTCCCAAGGTGATTTGTTCAGTTTAGTGATATCATAGCTAAAAATCATTAGCAGTAGGAGAAACTCTCTCCACCTAACAAATCAGAAATGGTTCTTATTTTATATTGAGTTGAATATTTGACTCTTAACACTTTTCTACATTCAAAACAAGTTTCTTGAAGGTTCTTCATAATTGCATTACAGAAGAAATTACCATACCATACTTAATTTGACATTCAACCAAAGTATTCATACGTTGCTTAATTTCCTGATGAGCCCTATAATGGAAAGACTTAAAGATGAATTTGAAAAAAAATTGAAATTAAGTTATCAGGTTCTATTAAACTGTTGATGTATACCTTGCTCAATTTCTGTTCATTAATTTATATCCACTAAATAATATAAAGTAAATTTGGAGGAAACAAACAAACAAACAAACAAAAAAACCAAAAAACCCACAAAACAAACAAAAAAGGATTCTGAAATTTTAAGTTTTGATTCAGAGTATAAAATTAACAAAATCATCTAGATTATCAGAATGACACTGTTTCAAGGCCCACTTGCTTTTCTGTTCATAGTTAAATCAGTACCAATAAACAATTTAAATGTCCATAAGTAAGGGAAAAAAAGGACAAAAAAAACAGAGAAGGAACCTGGTAGAGGAGAGATGTGTTAGTGCAAAATGAAGGCAAATGATGAAGAACACAAAGTCAGGCTTCCTAGCCGGCTGAAGAGAAACCCTGACTGTAAATATACGTTTTATATAGTGTACATCTAGCCAAATCATATAGTTCTATACATAGTGTTTATATCTGCACACAAGGATGTAAAACAAGAAACACCTTTTATTTAGATGCTATTTCTTTAAATGGCACATTTTTTGTCTTTTTTGTTGTTGCAGTTTTGGGTTTTTTATTTTATTTTTTCCATTTTTTTTCAGGATGTACTTGGAGGATTGTTACTTACCTCTTTGGGTGTTAATCCAGGCACAAGCCTTGCCATGGTTTCCCAGTTGATGGTTTGAGGGATTCCAATTAATGGATAAAGGATCATGTCCAATACCATTTGGTTATTATTCAAGAAATTATTGTTTTCTGAATATCCACGACTCATCTTTTGGACCTAGAAAAAGGGCAGACACAGTTTTATTTACATCTGAAATTCAAATGCTTTCAGAACATTGCAGATCAGTTATAATTCATTCCTAAAAATTACCATTATATAAAGGAAGAATAAAAATGACCTAAAGCAAAGACAGAATACTCATCAAAACTCTCTTCAAATATAGTTTTTATTATGATTTGACAGATGAATAAAAATGCAATAAAAAACAGAATATTAATGGTAGAATCCAGGTAGGGGGCATTTAGGTGTTTATTACAAATTCTTTTCAACTCTGTTGTATGTCCAAAACTTTTCCAAATAGAATGTTCAGGAAAAGCTGAGTATAATTTATCTTCCTAAAAACTCACTCAAGTGTGCCTGATTTATATACTATGAAGAAATCTAAACATGTAGCTCACTAAAAGAATCATAATTTCAATGTGTTCTTAAACAATGCTCCCCTTTTGTTTCTGAGAGAATGTTTGTGGTACAAATGATGAAGCCTGAGCATAATGAAATTGTATAAATGTAAGCGTAATAGTTATAGAGCCTGTGCTTATTATAGATAGGAGGAAGATTATATTAATAACTATTAAGTATTATTATTATTATTATTTTTTAAGATAAGGTCTCCCTGTAGCCCTTGCTGGTCTTGAACTCACAATGTATACCAGGCTGGCCTTGAGCTCAACAGAGATCTACCTGCCTCTGCCTACTAAGTGCTGGGATTAAGGGTACATGTCACCATGCCCAGCTAGAACGTGTATAACTTTTAAAGAACTACCCTACTCTAAGATAATTTATATAAACTAGTATTAAGTGATAATCTCACAATCTTGTCTGAAAAATA